CCTGCCCATGGCAGGGGGGTTGGAACTAGATGGGCTTTGAGGTCCCTTCCAACTCAAACCATTCTATGATTCCATGATTCTATGATTTTCTAATTTCACTATGTCCTTTATGAAGTGAGCACAGTAAAACTTCAAATACTAGCTGAGATGCTGGGACACCACAGGTGCATACAGTTGAATAACGCACTCCCTTTTGTTTCTTTCTTAAGTAATTCTGAATATTCAATACACTTTTTTGGACTGCTGCTTAGCATTCTGCCAAATTTTCTTTGGCATAGTATAAAAATATAATTTGTGAATGGCAATAATAAGCTCAGAGCCCATCACTGTGAATGTTGTGGTGTTTCTCCTTGCCTTATTTTACGTCTATCACTACTAAATTTTATCTGCTGGTTTTTTGCCTTGTCACTCAGTACCATGAGGTCCTTCTGCAATTCTTCATTGTTTATCTTTAGTACCCTTAGTAGCATCACCAAATGTGGTCAGCCATTTTCCACATCATTTAGAAATATATTGAACTGCATAAACTAAGCATTAATAATCTTTTCCACTGTAAAAAGCAACTATTTCTCCCTAGCCTTCTTTGTTCTGTCTTTTAGCTGTTTATCCATGCAAGAACCTTCCTGCTTATCCCCTCAGACTATATCCTCTAAGTGCCTTTGAAAGGCATGTGGCGAAATCTCTTCTGAAGTTAAACTATATCAGCTGGATTTCCCGTGTCCTCAGGGTTGCTGAATACTCCAAAGAACTAATGAATTTATGAAGAATTACTTCTGTTGACAGGAACTTTGTTGATTCCTTCGCAGTGTGTTCATCTCTTCGATCTGCATTACATTTCTTGCCAATTGGCCAGTAAAGACGGGAGGGTCAATGTGTTCCCTAGCTCTCTCCTGAAACTCTAGAAACTGGCATCAAATTTGCTACCTCCGGTTTTCTAGTATCATGTTTCATGAGAGAAATGGCACATGACAATTAGAAATTACCTATTTTATCCTTGGACGCATCTGAAAATTTTGCACAAATATCATCTGGTCTTGGGAATTTGTTACTGCTCATTTTAGTATATGATTCTGTAACCTCTTCTCTGACGTGCTTATCTGAGACAGATGCCCTGACATTGCCTATGAAGAACGGTCCTAGTAATGTGATTGCCCAAACTCCTCGTCTGAGAAGCAAAGTCTGTCTGTTTTTTCTCATATGCCTTTATGTGCTGCGAGCACTCCTGCACCTGGAGAGTGCACCCTGAGCACTCCTGTCCCTAAGCTCTGGCAGGCTTCCTGCTTCTCATCTGTTTGAAAAAGCCTTTATAATCAGTGTAGAAAAGGCAGAAAAACCACAAAACCAATTCTGTGTAAATCTCCAGCGGATCGCTCACAGTCATCTGAGTCCTGTTTTGCTGCTGGCATACGTCATCTCTGCAAGCTCCCTGCGTTAGTAATTGGTATTTTCAGGTATATCTAATTTATACTGGTTACTGACTGTTAATACCATTCTAGTATTCACCCATCCCGAAGTGAGCCATTCAGCTGTTCCTTAACCTGTTAACTTGCACTAAGAAGTTGGACAGACTTGCTTCAGCATGACTACTGCACAAAAACAAGCGTTGGTCCATTCAGTCGGTCTCAAGATGCTCATGCTTTCTCACACAAACTTGGATTGTTGTTTGAGGTTTTTTAATTGTATTTATGTTTTATACTCTGGGCAAGAGCTAGTTTGAAGTCTCTGATTCAAAAGAAGCTCTGTTACTACTAG